GGTAGCAGAAGTGCAACCAGGTTGTCTGGTTGGAAGCTTGGAGGTAAGAATCTTAAAGGATATCCCATCCAATCTAAGAGCCGTAACTCATTAGGAAGATATTTGAGTTCATCACAATTTGAGAGGCAAAGGACTTTGAGCAATCTCAAATTTTTCATCTTCGAGACAGCATTAACATTCAAATTGAGCATCTTGTTGGATATCCTGATAACCAAGGATAAAACAACGAAAATTCAGTTCAAATTTGAAAATATCCCAAAGCATTCCATACCTAATAGCAAGGCTGTTCCAACACTTAATTTATCTATGCTCCGTCGTATCCCACACATCCGAATAGAAACATAGAGATGATTCTTCAAGGATTTTCAAAATAAATTAGAAAAACTAAAAGTACAATGAGTAAAATAAGAAAGGGAGTATAACTCAACGAGGAACGGTGTAATTTGAGTACAGTGATATAATAAAACTTCAAGGGTCACTTTTGACCGAATATGAAATTTACACATGGATGCATGTTTTGCTACCTTTTATTGTCAATGATCATGCCTTCAATCGCTTCCGTAGCCTAAAAACATTCAAAAGTAAGACATAAGAAACACAAAATAGAATGAGGAAATTTCTGTGATAAAACTTGTGAAAAATTACATTGTGTGTATCATTGATGTCTTTAACGTTAATATAATATGCAATTTCCCTGGAATGACTCACAGTGTTCTTCGTTAGCACATGATATACATCCTTTTCCTCCCACAATCTACAACGTTTTCCAGGCTCCTCAATAGATTTGTCCCGAACAATTCTTCTTCCCATTTCTTGTAGTAAGTTATGCATCCATAATTTGTTGTTTTCGTCAACTGTTAGTAGAGACTTCTTAATGAGAACATCGATTCCGATATCCGGGAAAAACTCACAGCCATCCAATACATTCATTACAAAATCTTTCTCGTCCCCATTGAAGAAGCATGCTATATCTAGAAATATGTTCTTCTCCGTTTCTTCCAATCCATCAAAGCTAATTCGAAGTCTGTCAATAATCTCTTTGTTAGAATCCTTTTCAAGTCTTTGGATTGCACTTCTCCATTGAGCTACATCTCTACCGCATAAAAAACAACCCAAGACTTCAAGAGCTAAGGGGAGACCACTGGCATATTTTGCAACATGTTCAGAAAGCTCAATGAAAACATCATTCGGTGCTGTCTCACTATCAAAAGCTTTCAAACTGAAAAGTTGAAGTGCCTCGCTGTCATTCAATGTTGAAGGCTTATACACATCATCAACTCCGTAAGATTGGAGCAAGTGTTCATCTCTTGTTGTTATAATGATTCTACTCCCTAAACCGAACCAATCATGCCTTCCAACCAACCATTTCAAGTGCTGTAAATTATCCACATCATCAATCACAACAAGGACCTTTTTGTTAGATAATCTGCGGCTAATTATGGAATTCCCTTCATGAACATTGAAAAATTCGAAGACTTCACCAGACAAGATCTGGAAAAGAAGTTGTTTCTGTAGTGAAACGAGTCCAAATTTGTCTGAAACTTCTCGAACGTCAGCAATGAAGCATTTACCTTCAAAATGAGATGACATTTGGTCGTATACAACTCTTGCGAGAGTTGTTTTACCGATGCCACCCATTCCGCAAATTCCTATGATGCGGATGTCATCTTCGCCAATCTCTATTTTTGAATACAGCTCCTCCAAGCGTGAACTGATTCCAACCAACTCATCATGAACAATTGGATATGTCTGACATAATTTTGCTGATATTTTTCTAACAATATCTCCGATAAACTCTGATTCATGCCTACAAAGAAATAAAATTCAGTTCATTTTTATAATTATTAAAGTAATTAAACAAGAAAACAGGAAAGAAAAGAATGGTTTACCTGTTATTTAAATGCCATCCTTTGATGTTAGCCACTTGAGTCAAAGCATTTCGCCACCTTAGAATCTTCTCTTTATCTTCCTTGTATCTCTCAGCATGTTTGGCAAATGCTTCTTGAACTTTTTCTTTCTGTTTTCTTAAATCAGATGGATTAACGTCGTAGAAAATTGGAAACACTTTATGTCCTTTCTCGTTTTTTTGTTTAACAATCTCAGCAAGCTCCTCCAAGCACCAACTTGAAAAGGCATAGGTTCCTGAAAAAACAATTACCGAGCACCACGATTGTTGAATGGCTCGGAAGAGTTGTGGTGCGATCTCTTCACCGGCATCCATCTTTGAATCATCCTTGAAAGTGATAATTCCACTTCGATTTAGAGCATCATAGAGATGATCTGTGAAGTTTTTGCGGGTATCTTCACCTCTAAAACTCAAGAAAACATTGTATTTCTTTCTAGAAATACATGATAAAGTTGAAGGTAACAATGACATGATGAATTATGAGAAGGAAAATTTTGGGTTATAGATTTGAGATTGATTTGTATTTGAGAAGGCTTTGTTCATCAACAAGAAATAATAGTTCTCAAACTCTGATATTATCCTATTCTATCCCCCGTCAATTGGTCCAAGTTTTCGAAGTCATGTGGCTACTGGCTATGATTTGCATTTTCCACGCTTTAGTTCAATGCGTATACTCGGGGCTAGCTTCTATGGTTGATATTTTTTCCCCATAACCGAGTCATGTCATACTTGCTCTACTTCCCATCACTTTCTACGTTTCACATCAATCAATCTATATATATTAAGAGAACATTAACTTCTTGTATAAGAAAAATGATAGAGGGAGACTTGTCAATTAAACATTGATTATGAAGTCCCATATTTGACAAGCATTACTTCAATTATGAGAATCAAATCAAAGTTAAGAGTTACCCAGTGCCGCAGGCACGTCATTTGAACAAATTAGCCCTAACTTAAGCACCATCATCATCTCACCATCATAATATTGGCCATTGAGATCAATTGGCCTGCGTCCACAAGCAACCTCGAGCAAGAGTGCACCAAAAGCATAGACATCGGAGCTTGTTGTGGCCTTTCCTGTCTTGGGCAGATCCGGTGCTATATATCCCATTGTGCCTACAATTCGACTTGTCCCTGGATTTGAACCATGTCCATACAATATTGCAAGGCTGAAATCTCCTAACCGTGCATTCAGCTCATCATCTAATAATACATTACTGGCCTTAACATCCCTATGAATCACAATTTGTTCATATCCTTCGTGTAAATAGAGAAGACCAGAAGCCACACCCTTTATGATCCTAAATCTTTGGTCCCAATTAAGGATAGTTATAGGGTCATCAAACAAAAACTTACCTAAACTGCCATTAGCCATGAAATCGTAAACAAGAAGAAGGTCGCCTCTTCTCCAGCACCATCCCAATAGCTGAACCAAATTCCGATGTCGAAGCCTTCCGATACTAGAAATTTCTGCAACAAATTCACGTAAACCTTGCTTTGATTCATGGGAAACTCACTTGACAGCAACTTGAGTGTTTGAATTTCCATGTGTTCCTTTGTAAACTCGACCAAAACCGCCATGTCAAGCTCCAGCACCCAATCTTCAACTACTTCAGTGTTCTTGATTTTGATAATGACATAAACTGCAATGGAAAGAGCAATTATGACAACAGCAGATGAAACTGAGACACCAACTGTTAATGTTGTATTTTTTTTTTGGTGGTCCAGGGAATGAAGGCAGCGACGATAGATCAAGAGCCTTGGCTTGTCCATTGATCTTAAAGCTCCACCCTAAAATATAATGAGAGTTGGCATGAACATGGCCTGTAGAAGCTGAGAAACCAACATACATAAACTCGTGAAGAAACGGCGAGAGATCTTCATGAAAAGACAAGAGGGGAGATGTCGGTCTTTTAGAAGTGGGTGCAATCGTTACATTCATGACGTTCTCAACTGAATCGTAATCAATCCAAGCTTGGATTAGTTTCCCACTCTTGAGAGTAGGATTTTGTTTTGTGGAACCACCTTGGGTGTAGTAACTGGCAGAGACTGAAGCATTTGAGTGCAAGCTGTTTATGTCAATACCGACATTATTGTCTTCCATGTCTCGAAACTCAAAATCCTGAACCGTGTCGAACTCAACTGCAACAAGATGGTTCGAGAAGTTACCCATATCGGTTGCGTTGAGGATTCCTAGATACTGATTTGAAGGTGCTCTGCGATCTACAGAAGTGGTGATTGTGAAAGCAAGGCCGTGACCACCAAACCTTCGAAACTCGGGAACTATGGCCAAAACAAACGAGGTTGAAAATGAAAAGGATGGGCCATTACTAGATTTCTTGAATCTAAATGCAGAGCTATAAAAAGCTTTACCCACTAAACGAGGGGTGTAATTAGTTAAGCGTAAAATGCCATTTTGTTCAATATGTGACACCCCTGTTAATGTTAAGTAGTTGGGGTCGCTTATGTGTCTGAATCCGGGGAAGAAGAACTCGGTGGGTTTTGAAGAAGAAGATGAGACTATGAGGAAGAAGAGAGTTGAGAGAAGTGAGAGGACATAAGCCATGTTAATGATACCAAAGAGTGAGATCAAGGCACTTGGATCAAAAAGGATATAAATTCTGGAAAACAATGGTGAGGACTGAGGAAGCAATAATGTACTTGAGAAGGCTCTGTACATCAACTAGAGATAGAGTTCAAAATAAATAGTTGTCCAACTTTGACATTTATCTTATTCAATCTATATATTCAGAAAACATTAGCATTATTGTTGCTATTATTGCTGCTGTTATTACTGCATGCAGCATGCATGCAGACTGCCATGCAGGGGCAGTGTCACGGGCGCATGTGGGGGAGTGCATGCAGGGGAGAGACGCATGGAGTGCAATACGTCTTCGGGGGGAGGGGATAGACGCATGGAGTGCAATGCGTCTTCGGGGGGAAAGGGGAGAGACGCATGGAGTGCAATGCGTCTTTGGGGTGTACTGTAGCAATCACCCCATTTGAAGAAATAATTCCGAGACAGCATTATTTTGAAATTAATGTTTTCTGAATATTTAGATTGCTACAGTACACCCCAAAGACGCATTGCACTTCATGTGTCCCTCCCCTTTCCCCCCGAAGACGCATTGCACTCCATGCGTCTATCCCCTCCCCCCGAAGACGCATTGCACTCCATGCGTCTCTCCCCTGCATGCACTCCCCCACATGTGCCCGTGACACTGTCCCTGCATGGCAGTCTGCATGAAGCATGCATGCAGTAATAACAGCTGCAATAATAGCAGCAATAATGCTGCACTCACGGTCTGCAATCACGACCTCGGTCTCCTCATAAACATTATGTCTTCACTTTATAAGGGGACCTTCAGCTATTAATCCATCTGCGGCGGAATCTTCATTGATATCTTCCAAATCTTTCTGATAAACTATTTGAAGCCCACATTTGTTCACCTTAACACTTATGTGACTATCATCGGATGTGACTGAAAACTGGAGTTCATCGAATTCCTGATTTGAGCAATCCAATGTTGATGAATTCTCAGTTTCACTTTCACCACATTTATCCTCTAAGGAAAATGGATATAATCTGTCACGGAACAAAAAACAACAATAAAGGTGGTCCTTTATTATGGGCTGGTTATATTCTTTAGAAAAAATCCAGCCGTCTCCTGAGACACGTCGAGGATTTGTACCCCGAAAACCAGATCCATCAGAATCAGCCTGTCCAGAATTCCTATGATGGATAACAGCATCACATGTGAGTTCCTCATCCCTTGAAGCATCATCATTGACAAAAATGCAGCAGAAAGCAACTCCGATCCATTGACTATCATTCTGAATATTGTTAGGCAATGGTATCTTGATTGAAGAGCCAACTGTTTGATGGCTGAACCATTTTGGGATTTCACCTCCGGGCATAACAACATCAAAACTTTTTCTTAAACATGCAACTATCTGCAAAATAAAATGTTGTTTGGTAACTAATACTGTAATTCTTCAAGAATGAGATTCTGTAAATACAAAGAATGATAAATCGACCTTAAGATAGATTTTCAGCATTGTTGATGCATTGATATTCTCAACAATTTTGTAGCAGTGAAGACCATTAAACCGTGTCAAATCCACTGCATTGCAAATATTTGATGGAGTTGCAAATAGTTCTAGAGAAGCACCAAGACTAGGAAACGATTTGAGCTCCCTGCAATTTGACAATCCAAGATATTGAAGACTGGGAAATCTAATAACAGACACAGGTACGCTGATGAAATTGTTACCACCAAGCTCAAGCTTTTCCAAATAGGGTAAACAATGAATGTCACTTGGAATATCTCCTTCACGAAGATTGCAGTTCCTTAGTTTCAGCTCTCTTAACGAAATCAAACCTGACAGTGAATGTAACATAAGAGGCACAGACTCGATCCGTCCTCTTTGGAATACCTGGAAAAGAGAAGGTAGATTTGGTGCTAACTTAGATGATGGTGTCTTGAGCCTACTCAAAGACAAAAGTTTAAGATTTTTAAGTTGAAAAATGAAGGATGGTGGTTTTGCTATGGCTGTTTCACTTAAGTCAAGCTCTTCCAACAACTCTACTTGCTGCAAATTCTCCGGCAAATTTGCAACTTTATAGCAACCTGAAAGATCAAGAGTTTTTAGACATTTACACCCACCTATGCTGCTTGGGAGACTAATAAGGTTTGTACAATCTTTTAGGATTAATGTTTCAAGAGATTCTATTCCAATTTTGGTTGGAAGATTCCTAAGACTTGTGCAGCTTCTTAAATTCAAAAGTTTAAGCCTCGAAAGAACTCCGACTGATGGATGAGCATCTACTATTCTTGTACAACCCTCCAATATCAAAATTTCCAGATTTGGGGCTGTTGTAAAGTCCGGTGTCTTGATCAGGTTTTCGGACCCTTTGAGGTTGAGCACTTTCAACTTATACAGGGGCTGCTTAAAATAATAATAAATTAGAGAAGATTTAGTTAATATTCCTAAAATAAGTTAAAAAAACAATGATCATATGAATTAGTTCTTACTGTATTTCCCTTCCATAGTTGTTCAATGCGACTGTATGGTAGCAGAAGTGCAACCAGGTTGTCTGGTTGGAAGCTTGGAGGTAAGAACCTTAAAGGATATCCCATCCAATCTAAGAGCCGTAACTCATTAGGAAGATATTTGAGTTCATCACAATTTGAGAGGCAAAGGACTTTGAGCAATCTCAATTTTTTCATCTTCGAGACAGCTTTAACATTCAAATTGAGCATCTTGTTGGATATCCTGATAACCAAGGGTAAAACAACGAAAACTCAGTTCAAATTTGAAAATATCCCAAAGCATTCCATACCTAAAAGCAAGGCTGTTCCAACACTTAATTTATCTATGCTCCGTCGTATCCCACACATCCGAATAGAAACATAGAGATGATTCTTCAAGGATTTTCAAAATAAATTAGAAAAACTAAAAGTACAATGAGTAAAATAAGAAAGGGAGTATAACTCAATGAGGAACAGTGTAATTTGAGTACAGTGATATAATAAAACTTTAAGGGTCACTTTTGACCGAATATGAAATTGACACATGGATGCATGTTTATGTATGTTTTGCTACCTTTTATTGTCAATGATCATGCCTTGAATTGCTTCCGTAGCCTAAAAACATTCAAAAGTAAGACATAAGAAACACAAAATAAAATGCGGCAATTTCTGTGATAAAACTTGTGAAAAATTACATTGTGTATCATTTCTGTCTTTAACATTAATAAAATATGCAATTTCCCTGGAATGACTTACAGTGTTCTTCGTTAGCACATGATATACATCCTGTTCCTCCCACAATCTACAACGTTTTCCAGGCTCCTCAATAGACTTTTCCCGAACAATTCTTCTTCCCATTTCTTGTAGTAAGTTGTGCATCCACAATTTGTTGTTTTCGTCAACTGTTAGTAGAGACTTCTTAATGAGAACATCGATTCCAATATCCGGGAAAAACTCACAGCCATCCAATACATTCATTACAAAATCTTTCTCGTCCCCATTGAAGAAGCATGCTATATCTAGAAATATGTTCTTCTCCGTTTCTTCCAATCCATCAAAGCTAATTCGAAGTCTGTCAATAATCTCTTTGTTAGAATCCTTTTCAAGTCTTTGGATTGCGCTTCTCCATTGAGCTACATATCTACCGCACAAGAAAGAACCCAAGACTTCAAGAGCTAAGGGGAGACCACTGGCATATTTTGCAACATGTTCAGAAAGCTCAATGAAAACATCATTTGGTGCTGTCTCACTATCAAAAGCTTTCAAACTGAAAAGTTGAAGTGCCTCGCTGTCATTCAATGTTGAAGGCTTATACACATCATCAACTCGGTAAGATTGGAGCAAGTGTTCATCTCTTGTTGTTATAATGATTCTACTCCCTAAACCGAACCAATCATGCCTTCCAACCAACCATTTCAAGTGCTGTAAATTATCCACGTCATCAATCACAACAAGGACTTTTTTGTTAGATAATCTGCGCCTAATTATGGCATTCCCTTCATGAACATTGAAAAATTCGAAGACTTCACCAGACAAGATCTGGAAAAGAAGTTGTTTCTGTAGGGAAACGAGTCCAACTTTGTCTGAAACTTCTCGAACGTCAGCAATGAAGCATTTACCTTCAAAATGAGATGACATTTGGTCGTATACAACTCTTGCGAGAGTTGTTTTACCGAGGCCACCCATTCCGCAAATTCCTATGATACGGATGTCATCTTCCCCAATCTCTATTTTGGAATACAACTCCTCCAAGCGTGAACTAATTCCAACCAACTCATTATGAACAGTTGGATATGTCTGACATAATTTTGCTGATATTTTTCTAACAATATCTGCGATAAACTCGGATTCATGCCTGCAAAGAAATAAAATTCAGTTCATTTTTATAATTATTAAATTAATTAAACAAGAAAACAGGAAAGAAAAGAATGGTTTACCTGTTATTTAAATGCCATCCTTTGATGTTAGCCGCTTGAGCCAAAGCATTTCGCCACCTTAGAATCTTCTCTTTATCTTCCTTGTACCTGTCTTCATGTTTCGTAAATGCTCCTTCAACTTTTTCTTTCTGTTTTCTTAAATCGGATGGATTCACGTCGTAGAAAATTGGAAACACTTTATGTCCTTTCTCGTTTTTTTGTTTAACAATCTCAGCAAGCTCCTCCAAGCACCAACTTGAAAAGGCATAGGTTCCTGAAAAAACAATTACTGAGCACCACGATTGTTGAATGGCTCGGAAGAGTTGTGGTGCGATCTCTTCACTGGCATCCATCTTTGAATCATCCCTGAAAGTGATAATTCCACTTCGATTTAGAGCATCATAGAGATGATCTGTGAAGTTTTTGCGGGTATCTTCACCTCTAAAACTCAAGAAAACATCGTATTTCTTTCTAGAAATACATGATAAAGTTGAAGGTAACAATGACATGATGAATTATGAGAAGGAAAATTTTTGGGTTATAGATTTGAGATTGATTTGTATTTGAGAAGGCTTTGTCCATCAACATGAAATATTAGTTCTCAAATTCTGATATTATCCTATTCTATCTCCCGTTAATTGGTCCAAGTTTTCTTTCAAAGTCATGTGTCTACTGGCTATGATTTGCATTTTCCACGTTTAGTTCAATGCGTATACTCGGGGCTATATTATTATAACCGAGTCATGTGGTGGGAAGAGATGACTAGTATGATATTATTATAATGAAGTGGGTGAAAATAATAAGCCAAAAGTTTCACCATTCTTGTTCACCACCTAATTGTAATTTGATGACCAATCACATACATAAATTGGTAACCAAATCTTGTTGTTGGTCCGACCCAGAGAACTCGGCCACTCCACATTATTCCTTTTTATAGCATTCATTTTAAGATAAGAAGACTTCTATTTATGAGCTTTAAATGATTTGGTAAGTAATTGTTTCCATCCATAGAGGAGTAAAAGAAATAATAAGAGTCGAATAATCATTTTAATAAACCTCGAGGGCTATTTTTAATATTATACTTTTATTAAATCGACAAGTAATCGATAACTTAATATCTCTATTTTTATTTAAAAACAGATTAAAATGATAAAAATATAAAAACTTTATTAGAAAACATTTTATAAATATTTGTTTATTGTATTCTGTTGCCTTAAATGATTAGGTGATGAAAGAAGTAGTATCTATCAGTCAAAATTCTCTGTTTCTGGGTTTGTTGATTACATAATTTTGCACGAATGAATGTCAAAGAGATCCTTCTGGACTCCCGACCACTGACTGGGAAAGAAAAAGGACAAAACCCTTTAATTATAATAGACCTGTGTTTCTTCTTATGCTTCCTGCTCTACTTCCCACCACTTTCTACGTTTCACATCAATCAATCTATATATATTAAGAGAACATTAATTTCTTGTATAAGAAAGATGATAGAGGGAGACTTGTCAATTAAACATTTGACAAGCATTGCTTCAATTATGAGAATCAAATCAAAGTTAAGAGTTACCCAGTCATTTCTTTATGGAAAAAAAAAGGTAAACTTTGATTTCCAAGGTGATCTGAGTAATTGCAGCCAGAGGAATTGATAATAAATTTACAAGCCTAAGGAAGTAAGTTCAGTTCAAGCCATGATCAACCTGTACCTACAGCTGAAAAAACATAATTAAAACCTTCAAAATGGTTGAAATTCAAATCAAATTGGCACTTAAATTTCGAAGCTACTTCACAACTCACTGTGTAGAAATCATAAAAGAAAGATGCCCAGCATCTACGGTGGTTTCCCTAATAATACAATGATGGTGAATTACAAAACAGCAAAAGCAAAGCAAATCTAATTAGCTTCACCTTTGATATCAGATTAATGATTCGCTTTGTGGTTCTTCCCGGAATTGTAGTATTGTAGATTGAAAAACAATAATGTATTGCCATACTCACTGCCATCGTCTTCTACTTTGCTCCGGTCAAAGAAAATGTCACCACCATCAGCATACTCCTCCTCCTAGGGCAACAAGAACTTATGATTGCATTGGGGCCATTGAATACACATTTGAGAAAATTAGAAATGATTTGATTTTAATTGAATTCATATTTTTCTTTGAATTATGATTGATTATATTTGGCCAAAAATATTGGATCAGAAAAAATATCATTGAGATCAATAGGCCTGTTCCCACAAGCAACCTCGAGCAAGAGTGCACCAAAAGCATAGACATCGGAGCTTGTTCTGGCCTTTCCTGTCTTGGGCAGCTCCGGTGCTATATATCCCATTGTGTCTACAATTCGACTTGTTCATACAATCTTGCAAAGCTGAAATCTCCTAACCGTGCATTCAGCTCATCATCTAATAATACATTACTGGCCTTAACATCCCTATGAATCGCAATTTGTTCATATCCTTCCGGTAAATAGAGAAGACCAGAAGCCACACCCTTTATGATCCTAAATCTTTGGTCCCAATTCAGGATAGTTATAGGGTCATCAAACAAAAACTTATCTAAACTGCCATTAGCCATGAAATGGTAAACAAGAAGAAGGTCGCCTCTTCTCCTGCACCATCCAAATAGCTGAACCAAATTCCGATGTCGAAGCCTTCCGATACTAGAAATTTCTGCAATAAATTCACGTAAACCTTGCTTTGATCGCTTGACAGCAACTTGAGTGTTTGAATTTCCAAGTGTTGTCACTGAAACTGTTGGGAGTATCTTTGTGGGCCAATCTCTAGCTCCCAATCTTCAACTACTTCTGTGTTCTTGATTTTGATAATGACATAAACTGCAATGGAAAGAGCAATTATGACAACTGCAGATGTTTTTTTGGTGGTCCAGGGAATGAAGGCATCGACGATAGATCAAGAGCCTGGGCTTGTCCATTTATCTTAAAGCTCCACCCTAAAATATAATGAGAGCTGGCAAGAACATGGCCTGTAGAAGCTGAGAAACCA